ACATTGTTAGAATCTACATCAAATCTAAATTAATTCAAAATTTTCTTCATCATGAAATGATACATTAAGATAAAAAATATAAATACAAATCAAATAAAGATGTTCATGCCTTTCACACTAAAACCACACAAAAATAAGAGAAACATGGTATTCATAAAGCTTACAATACCCAGGCCCCTTGTTCTATATTGAACTCACTCATGAAAAAAAATGAATTAAATATTTAAAGACCATATCTGAACTGAAAAATGAAATGTATGAATTATTTATCAATGAAAAGTTTATACGCCATGAATTACAATAATATCAATTAGATTCCATTCTAGTGTCTGTCAGAGGAGTATCAGCTCTCTGAAAACTCAAAATCCAAAGATTTGAAAATCAGAAGTTGTCGACCTGAAAAATTGCTATCGACTTGATGACATCATCCTATGTGGAGTACACATATTCACAATGAATTTGCATTGATTAGGCCGGCTCATCGCCTAAGCTATATAGGTGATCCGATGGGATCCACATGTTATGTACCGGTAGTTGATGTAACTTCTGCAAATTTGACCCCTGTTGACCCATAATTTGGAGGGGTGCGGAATTTGCTTTTGTGCAATAGTGAAAGGGCAACAACTTTTCATTCCTTTATATTTGTATTCTACATTCATTCAGTCTTCCATTTATATCAAGTTGTATTTTCATTGGATAGGGCCTTTAAGATATATTTTCCTTACTTTGGATACATGGACACCTGACTAAACCTACTATTACTCAGAATGTGTATTCCCACACATGCAATTATAGTGTTCCCCCTAAAATCAAGGCTAATACATGCACAAACCTACTATAAAAACCAAGTAGAATACTACCCCAAATATACATCACTAAGCCTCTAATGTACCAAATAATTTGTGGAGACATGCAATGGGTCTATTTCAGTTTAATATTTCCTCATTCCTACCATCTGGTGTACTATAAGAAGCGAATAATTAGCACACACCTCTGGGTGAAGTAAAATCTTTTTTCTAATGCACAAGCATTTGAGTAAAAAGCATAAGCTTAGAAGGTCAAAAGCTTTACAAAGTGTTTTCTTAAAGAGGAAAAAAGAGATTACCGTCGTTGTGAATCTGTCATCCTTTTTAAATCCTGTTTTCTACATGTCACAAAATGAAAAGAAATAGGAACACAAACATTCTACAGAGACTTTGTTTACAAACAAACAAAACAAAAAGAATTGAGGTGATTATGTTGTATGGCTGCAATAACTTCAACGAAAGAGAGATCTATCAATGTCGGAGAGAAACAGATGAAGAACAATACATAAAACTAGAAAACAAACAGACATTTACAGTGAATTTACATTTACAGCGAAAACAGAACTCTTGATACATGCAGGCCTAGTGGTTGTGTCACCAGGACCCAGGTTCATATCCCAGTTGAATCGCTAACATCATAATGACCAACATAAATCAACACTTAATAGAAGAAAATGGGGGACCCGTCGATCACCAAATATGAAATGGGATTTGCTCAAAATTAGTAATTAAGGACATTTTCAACAATTCACTTTGGTTTCCAAACTTGCAAATTAGCAAGTTTTTTTCTTCTCATCCATCTGGACCTCATTTACACCCTGCATGGGTAACCAACATAAGCTTTACTGCTCTTTGAACAAGAATCAACAAAGCGTCCGTTTGGAGCAAAAAGGACGCAGAGTCAACGCCCTTTTGGCTCCATATTACAGACCAAATGATCATGATATCAGTCATGAATTTATACAACAGATACCTGGCTTCAATACTGGTGTGGAAAAAATGACAAGTTAGTTCAAGATCATTTTAAAACTAAAAAGTAAATCCTTTCCCACTTCTTGCTCTGAACAGACGACATAGTAAAGTCAAAACATAGTAAAAACAAAGAAAAAACAGTAAAAATAGAGTAAAAATACAGTTAAAAATACAGTAAAAACAATTTAAGACACAAGGTAAAAACAAATATATAGCAGAAACTTAGCAGAAATTTTGTAAACCCATGTAGAAACTAATCATTTTAAACTGGGCATTTCTAGACTTAACAGCAGTTAAACTCCCAACTAACAAAGAGCCATCTCTTAAAAATGGCCCTCCAATGAACTACTACTGATAAATAGAACACTTTCTTATGCTAAAAACATTTTTGTTAATGAATTCTTCAAAACCTAATTAAGATATTATTTTAAGAATTCACTGATAAAATCAATGTTTAGTTACTTTGGTCCATATTCTCCTAAAATCTAAGACCAAACTGGGTCCACATCGTAGCCTTTTAGCTCAAATTGTGTTGAAAAACAGAAGTAACGTCTAATGGGGCATTGAAAGAAAGATGCAATCAATTGCAAAACCCAAAATCAAGCGTAAGTATTTTCAATCGATTGCAACTCAACTTTCTTGCAATGTCCCATTAGTAGGGTAAGAGAGAGAGAGGGAGAATAAAAGCTAGATCTAGTTAACTTAATTTAATTGTTAAAACT